TTATTTCATCCTCTCTACTGAAGTTCTCTGCTAAAGTACTACTGAACTTTAAAGTATTATGAGATTTAAATTTGATAGGCATTTTATTTTCAGTGTATTTTCCCAAATATTTAGCTTATCATGCTACTTAATGAGTATGCTTTCCGTATGGCTTTTTTTCTTTCTTTATTTTCCTTATTTCTGTGTCTCTCTTCATGACAATTTATTTTTTAACAGTAGTTACCCCTAACCAAGGAATCCTTTGTGAGAAGGAAAACCTAGATGGAGTTTCTACCTTCTTTTGCCATAGTCATATTTCTTTCTTCTACATTCATTGTTTTCTTTCCTTGCCTGGAAATTGTATGCCTGTGGTAGACTTGAGACTTATTTCATAACCTCGTTCACTCAGTATGAATATGGCCAAGAATGGTGTGAGGTAGTTGCAAATAGAGCATTGCAGCTGTGAAAGAAAAATTATTGGCATAAGGAAATAAATGCAATGAGCCAGAAACTGGTTCAAACTATACCAGTATGAGAAATAGTGACAAAATCTAATGTGACCTACAGAGATAAACAAAACTGGACAAAGGCATTTTGTATAAACCAATCAGTCTTTCACTCTACTCAGCAATTATGAGTCTAAAATATAGAGATCTTAGAACACTTAATAATCCTTGCCCAGACATCAATAATTAATGTTCATTTTATAGTGGAAGAAAATTAGTTCTGTAAAAACTCAGAATTATAAATTAGAGTTTATAAATTATAAAATTAGAGTTTATAATATTGAGTGATCTCTCACAGAAACAAAGATCTGAGTATCACATGTTCTCACTCATAAGTGGACCTTGAACAACTATCGTGATACTATAAGAAAAGGATTGACAGTGGTAGGAAACTATGGGGGGGGGGGCAGGGAGGGGAAGGGAGATGAGATTAACGGTAGTCAATATCTGTCTGGGGATGTGGGGGCATACCTCATCAACAAGGGTACCTGCACAATGCATATTTGTATCCCTAACCCTTAACTGTACCCCACAATTTTAAAATAAAAAATATGTACTAAAAAAAACTCAGAAACTTGCCAATATCAGTTGCCAAATAAGTAATACTGAGTAGCTGGAGTCAGTGATTGCCAGTCTTTCTATACAGGATCGAATATTCTGACCTTTTCAGGATAGGAAGCGTTATCAAAACATTACTAAGATGTTGGGATTAGGAACTCACCTCCTGTTAGAGGTATTGACAAATACAAGTAACAAAGAAGGATCCTTTCATGTTTTTCTTTTTTACTTAGAAAGTTCTGAGCACATTTTATTTGGATTTCTTTTCTTTTCTATTCTTAAAAGCAGCAAGTACAAATAATTGGGTATGTGGTGCTATTGCTTGAATATAATCCAAGAACAACCAGATAGACATAGTATGTTGAGGGCCTATAACTTATATCAGCTTTCTCCCAAGGATTATAATGATAATAGTCAGCACTTATTGGACACGATTGTATGCTAGGCAATATAATATGTTATATAATTTTTATATAAAGATGTGGGGTGCAATTCAGGGTTAGGTACACAAACATTGATTATGCAGGTCCCCTTGTTGATGAGGTATGTCCCTTCCTCCCCTAGAAGTTTCCCTCAACTGTCAATCCCATCCCCCTCCCATGATGGTTTCCCACTACTGCCAATCCCTTTCTTATAGTATTATAAGTGTTCAAGTTCCACTTATGAGTAAGAACATATGGCACTCTGTTCTTTGCTTCTGTGATCGATCACTGAGTATGATCGACTCTAAATCCATCCAAGTTGTTGTGAAGTCCACGTTTGTCCTTCTTTATGGCTGCATAATATTCCATTGTGTATATGTTCCACATTTTAAAAATTCAGTCCAGCTTCAATGTGCAGCACAGTTGATTCCATGTTTTTGCTATTGTGAATAGAGCTGCAACAAACATGCATGTGCAGGTATCTTTTTTGTAGAATGATTTGAGTTTTCTGGGTTTATTCCCAATAGGGGAGTTGCTGGGTCATATGGAAGGTCAATTTCTACTTCTTTCAGAGATCACCACAGTCTTTCAAAGAGGTTGCACTAGCTTGCATTCCCACCAGCAGTGTAGAAGTGTTTCTTTTTCTCCACATCCTCACCAGCATCTGTTGTTGTTTGTTTTATTAATGATGGCCATTCTTACTGGGGTTAGGTGGTATCTCAATACCTCACAACAATTATATAAGGTGTATACTATCTCATCATCTTCATATGAAAGAGGAGAAAAGTGAGGCTCAGAGAAACTAAAAAATTAATTTGTCATATATAAGGTTAATACCATGAAATAATATCACTAGGTGTTTCTCTGGCCTGTTTGATATCATCTATGCTGTTTCCATGAAGAATTTACTGAGTAAAAATGAGAATTTACTCATGAGAATTTACTGAGTAAAAATAATGTAGAATGGTGTTTGTATTAGATAAGACTCCATGTTGCTAGTACAGAATACTCAACTCAAGCTGACATTAACAATAACAGACTTAGATCATGTGCCCACTCCCAAATGAAAACTGGAACCAGCAGAACACTATGTATTGATTGGCTCAGGCTTGGATGATGTACTTATTCGTGAACCACAGGCTGTGGTGAGGAGTGGAAATGGATAACTTGGATTGTAATCTGGGCAATTCCTGAAGCCAAGGATGGGGCCAATCCCATCAAAATTGAATGACTGTGCCTTCAGCTGGGGAGAGGGGAAATAGCAAAGCACAAGCATGGGAAGATGAAGGAAAAAAAATGAGTCAAGCAAATGGAATACTAATGTCCTCTCCCAGTAAAAGATTGACACAGAAATGAAATTTAAAGATTGTTGTTAGATTCTACATCTTAAACAATTTCCATGAATGATGTGTGAATTGGTTGTACATTGCTACATTGTAACAAATTATCCCAATATTTAGGGACTTAAAATAATACACAGGATTAGAAACCTGGGTGCGGGTTAGCTGGCTCAAGGTTTCTCACCAGTCACAGTCAAATTGTTGAGTGGGGAAGGATTTGCTCACTCACATAGTTGTTGGTGGAATTCAGTTCCTCCTGGGATGTTTGACTGAGGACTTCAGTTCCTTGACATGTGGACCTCTCAGTACAACAGTTCATAGCAGCAGCTGGCTTTTTGCAGGGCTAACAAGCCAGAGAGAGAAAGAAGATGCCCAAGACAGTCTTTTAATAACCTCATCTTGAAGTGACATCCCATCACTTCCATCATATTTTATTCTTTGGAAGTGAGTCAATAAATCTGGTTTACATTCGAGAAAAGAGAATTACAGGAAGACATGGATACCAGGCAGAAAGGAGGTGGGAATTCTTATGGGCTGCTGTAGACTGGTTGTGTGCCTCAAAATTTTTATGCTAAAATCATAACCCCTGATATGATGGGATCTGGAGATGGGGACTTTGGAAGGTAAGTTCATGAGGATGGAACCCTTACTGATGGGATTAGTGCCCCTATAAGAAGAGACACAAGAACTTATCTCACTTTCTGCTCTCTGCTATGTGAACATACCCATGAGAAGAGGGCAATCTGTAAACAAGGGAGACGGTCCTCAGTAGACACAGGATCTTCCAGAACTTTGATCCTGACCTTCCCAGTCTCCAGCACTGTGCTAAATAAGTTTGTTGTTTAAGCCACTGTAGTTAACATGTTATGGCAGCTTTCACTAAGGCAGGGACCATCTTAGAAGTTGCCTATCATAATGTGTGCATTTGTGTATACGTACATGTGTATATGTATGTTCAGGGAGTCAGTGGGTGCACATGGTTTAGGACTGAAAGTGTATGAAGTTTGTATGCATTTTCTTATAAGGAACATTAGAGGAGTGAAATAATAGTCATAGTACCTGTAGGGAACAGATGGCATTCACAAATTGGGAATTTGAGCTGGTTTAATAAAGGGACTATTTACAAAGACATGAACAAGAATAGGGAAATTGCAAAGAATAGTTGGTAACCTAGCATATCACTCTCCCTAGGTCTGAAGTGGTAAGGCAAAGGAGAAATGATCACAACCAGGAGAGGATATTTGCATGAGAAGACCCCTGAAATGAGCTCTGAATTTCTATTAAAGGATGCAGTCAGTCCACAGCAGCTCCACAGAGAAGTTGCCAAAGGAATACCTTGACCTCAAACTCTCTGGCATCCTTCTGACATTATCTATTGACTGACCACAACTAGAAGCCAGGGGGCAATGGAGTCTACTGTGAAGGCCACCTCCTGGGACACATAGTAATGCGAAAAGAGTGGAGAATGAAACTAGAGGGACAATCAGAAGATAGTACTTCAGCAAACAAATGTACTTATGAGGGAAGTCATAGCCACAGACTATGAGAGGAAGAAACAGAGTTACATGAATGGGTATTGTTTAGAGCAGGCTAGACTGAAGAGTTTGCTGACAGGGAAGGGTATTTAACATCAAAACAGGCTTTCAAATACTTGTTCTCTTGAAGACCCTTAAAAATAGGAAACACATATATGACTCTATGAAATAATTTTGGGAAAAACTGTACTGATGAAAGGAGTATAGGTGGCTCAGATGACTTTGAAGGGTCCTTGTAACTTGAGGATTCAGTGTTCTAGGCGAAGTAATGGAAATCAGGGAACAAGATCTCCTGCAAAATATTCACAACTCTTTGAAGTGGAAATTAGGCTATTCCAATTTAGGAATCAAATTAAAGTAAATATTCAGGGTGTTAGCAGGCTGTGCTCCTGCCTGTTTGAAGTGGCAGCTAAAGGAGGGAGGCATCCTTGTTCCTGGATGAAGCAGGGTCTCACTCAGCCTGTTTTCATCTTTACTTAGCACCTGCTGGCTTGCAGTGGTGTCACCCAAGCAATCAAACGGTGGATGTGCCAAGAACCTGACTGCCCCATGTGTGCTGCCCCTCCTCCTCACACCCCATGACGGCCTGTCCTGATATAGATGGACAAGGGACTGGTTTAAAATGACAGTCTCAAGCTCCTTTAGGAAGAGAAGGCTAATTCAGAGAAACAGCCAGGCAAACTTCCTTTCTCCATAGGAATAATTATTATCCTTCTTCACCATGGCCCACCTGGGAGCCCACTTTGCTTTTAGATCCCGCTGGCAGAAGACCGATGATGAACTTTGTCGACATAGCATGTCTTTTATCCTTCACAAAGCCATTCGCAATGACTTCTTTCAGAGCTATCTCTACCTACTGGAAAAAATCCCCCTGGGTAAGTGAGCCAGAGCTACTAGATAAGAAACAAGGAATGACTGAAGGGATTGTGTGAGGTTGTGGGGCTTACAGAAGAGAAGTTAAAACAAGGACACTTTTCAGATAAAAACAATCCACAACCAATGTCAGTGGGCTGAAATGTTTCAATGGCATTCTTTTATGGAGAGTACAAAGATCAAGTGCTTCCTGGCCAGCCAGGACTCTATTTTGGGATTTCCATGCACCATCCGGCCCAGTGATTTGCTTCTCTGGGTGTAGTATCAGGCTTATAGAAACTCAGAAGTACATTTTTAATATTTGCAAAAAAATAGGTTTGGGTAAATCAGGTAATTCAGAGATGAGAGTATTAGTGCAACAATAGATCAAATAAGACTTTAAAAAGACTAAACAATAATAGATCAAAATGCTCTTGGAATTGTGTGTGTGTGTGTGTGTGTGTGTGTGTGTGTGTGTGTGTGCACGCACACCACATATAATCCTCCTGACCTTGAATCACAAGAATAGTCAGAGAGTCTAAAAAAGTAGATTTTAGTTTGATCTTTGAAAATTAAGAAAAAAAAAAGGAAGTAGTCTGTCTTTATTTCCTCTAGTTTTCAGGTAACTGGACAATAGAATAATAAAAAGCTTATCTGATTTGTCTATGCTACTTTTCTCAGCCTCTGTGAAAGTAGTTACTTCAGGGCACTCTAAACAGCAGTGAAGAGGAAATAACTTAACACTAAAGAGTGAAATAATCTCTGCCCCCCCTTGATTTATATTTCCCCCCAGTGAAAGCAGGAACACTGTGTATCAGCCCAGTCTGTTTACTTAAGGTTGTTTGAAAGCCCCATTGTGCACTTGATGTGGTCAGGGTTTCCAGCTGTGGAAGGAGCTACATAATTCTTTGTATGACATTCAAGAAACTGGATGTTAGCAGCCTAATAAAATCTCTTTTCATAAGTCCATTTCTGAGGGATCTTTAATACTAAATGTACAAATATCATTATTATATATACAAATCTGTAATTTCTTTTCATCTATGACATTATTTGATTATCACAGTTATACTGTGGGATAGATAGGGTAAGTATCATTATTTTTTCCTTCCATGTTTTCCATTTTATTTTTTCAAATGAGGGAAAGAAAGTTTAGAGATAATGGTATTTAATCCAGACAGAGTAATACATAAGTAAAGACCGAAGTTCAGGGATCTTTCTGGTAGATCACACTGCCCATAAGTAGTTCTTTTAGAGCTTGTAGTGCATCTCATCTGTATCAAAATGGAAAAATTAGATCAGTTTCTCTGGAAGGTGAAGATGTTCTGGTATCTCCATACACTGGTAGAGCATTGCTTTTCTGGGGATACTCTTTGGGCCATACCTCGGTAAGAGTAGCTTGGTACACTTGGTTGAATTAGACTGGAGAAAGGTATCAATTACAATAACTGAAGAGACTCATTAAAGCACAAATGACTGCCAAACTTTAAAACTATTTACTGGAGAGAAAAGAAACTCATTTCTGAAGGTAGATGAAGATGAAAGAAGAACTTAGCATAAAACAGTCTCTTCTGAAAATCAGATGAAAATTAATTTGTGACAAGTAGACTGTAACTTATATTTGGTCTCAATCTCCTCTTTTTTTTTTACCAGGTAAAATAATTTTGATTTTAGAGTCATTTTGATTTTAGATGTTTTTATCCTTTGTAAATATGTTGATTGCTCATCAACAATTTCTAACTCTTTACAAATCATTATACTAAGTGGCAAACTTTTTGACAATATAACACATACACACACAGAGACACACAGAAGTGGTTTTTCTGCTTAGGAATGGGAACAGGGTTCTTTTCTTTGTCTATTCTCTTAGCCTCACCAGTGGCTCCTGAGGCACTTCTATAAACCTACAGCATTCCATGAATACAGTTTGCAAGCCATGAGCCTATTCCAAACCAAAGTGGACTTCATTTTATTTAGCTGCAGTTTTCCGTAAATGGGTATTCTTTATTTTTTTTATGTTGATGATTCAGCCTGAACATTAATTTCTTCTGAGAGTTACAGGGCTAGCCTCATCCATAATACCTCTTTGATGGTTGTAACTAAGGGCTATATTAGTCAGTATGGACCGGGATATGCTGCGATAACAAATTAATCCTAAAATCTTGAGAGTTGAACACATAAGAGTTTATTTTTTACTCTTGCTTTAGATAATCTTTTTATTGCTCTATTGTCGAATTCCCTGAAAACTAGAGGAAATGTTGCATTATTGGGCGAGTGGGGAGGCTATATTCTACACAAGCATTCAGAGATCAGGGATGATAGGAGCTCTGCCAGCTGAAACATTACCAAGGCAAGGGAAGAGAAGCTGAAGGTTTGTCTACTAGCTTTTAAATACTTTGAACCAAAAGGACATACATTATATTTGTTTCGAATCTGTTGTTCAGAATTACAAGAATGCTGCAAAGAGAGCACACATACAGTTGGTCACCAACAAATGTTTTTGCTACAGGAAACAAAATGGATTCTTAGAGATAGAAACACCAGGTATTTCTTCTTTCTGATCAATTCAGCCATATTCAATGCAAGAGTTCTCATTATTATATAAAGTACTGTGCATGTTAATAACACACAGTCTCCATTCTTCTGGATTTTACAATCTGGCAATGGAGGTAAATCTATAAATAACTTTGCATTAATCCTTTTAAATTCAGGATGCAGAGAAGTCAAGCTGTTAGCTCTGTGAACACTAAATTCTTTTGCAGTTTTTTCTTCACATGGCAGAAGTTGAATATTCAGAAAGGAATCAGCACATATGTCTCATCTGCCAGTGTGACTTTTATTTGTTTGGAAGGATTCTCTTGGTCCTTGATTAACTCACTTAAACCTTGGTTTTTGCCCCAGGAGATTATAACTTATACTTATGGAATGCATTTGTACATATTTGTTCCCCTAGTGGACTCTCGTTCTCATGAGAGTAAAGACTCATCTATTTTCCCCTCTTCTATATTTATATTTTTAGCATTTGCCATCGTTACTGGTTTATAGAAAAGCTCAACAAATATTTGTTAAATGGATTACTAATAGTTAATTGCAGGTCAGCAAAGTTCAAAGTTCAAATTTTTGCATTCATTCTAAACAGAGGAGTAACCTCTACGAGTTACTAAAACCTCTGAATATCATTTTCCTCAAAACTGTAGCAGGGATGTTTGAAGGATTAAATGAAGGTATATACAAGTATGTGAAGGTAGTCAATCCTTAGTAAGTATTAGTTTCTTTCCTTCCTCTAAGATAGACTTTTTAAAAGGCACTGTGTATCCTTCTTTAAAACAGACATTACCAAGGATGATGAACTGAATTCAATATACGAGAGTTTTCAAGCTGCAGCTTTTCAGTTTGAAAATAAAACTTAGCCAACAGAGATGCTTCCTCCCTAGCTCCACTGAGGTGTTTTAGAGTTGGCTTCCCCTATCCTTGATGATTTCAAGACTTCAGAGAAATGAAAATAAAGCCCTTCTTTCAAAAAGGTTAGGGAACCTCTCCTGTAGGGTCTGCACAGAGAGTTTGTTGTTTGGGGTAATTATGGAAAGAACTAACCAGCCTCTTTGATTCCTCCTTTCCTTCCTTCCTCCCTCCAACTGCCTGCGTTAGGCAGTCTGTCTCACTCCAGCATACTGTGTGGTGACATTCAGTCATGAGGAAATCTGCTGACACATCCCTGGCTAGCTTTAGAGATTCATGGAATAGCAAAGACATACATACTAAAAGTCTCCAATGGAAGACATAACTATGCTGTCAAACATAACAGACCTTCAGAAAGAAGTGAAAACAAGGCGTCAGTATTCTCAATGTTTTGCATATATTATCCCAGTTCATTTTCATAACATCCCTGTTAGGTGTGGTGTTATTTTCCTCATTTTATATGTGAGGAACTGAGACACAGAGGAGTTGTGTAACTCAGCTGAGGAGCTTGTGGTGGTGAGTGGTGGAGCAGGATTAGAACCCAGGTAGTCTAACTCCAGAGTCTTTTTTAACTGCCACATGATATTGTCTACCAATGTAAATGGAAACTTGACTAATGTGCGCAACAAATAAGTTTTACCATATTTTCTTATTTGGCAGGCATAGAAAACATAGTCTATGAAGAGCATTGGCTTTCTATTGAGATCACCAAGCTAGACAGGCCTGTAAGTAGATTTATTTACTCTAGTTATTTCAGTCAAAGTTCAGTTGGAGGCTTGGAGTGAACACATTTTCCAAAGGTGGTTGTTCATGAACAAATAAGGAGTTGAATAAGAAAACAACTCAGTGTAAGTCTCCAGTTTGTATACCAGTGCTCAAGTGGGCCTATATGCAACACAATTGGAGATGTTTGTATAAGTTAACATTCAAGATTCTTCTAGTACTATCAATGTTTCTGAATACGTAGAAGTCAATTAATATTTATTGATTATATTATTGAGCAAGAATCACTCCTGGACTTTGTTAAAGTCTTATTCTAATTTTATATTTTGAAAAATGGTTCTGTGTAGTTTAGCAGAAAGACCAGAAGCTTTGCATTTGAATAGGCACAGGCTAGGTCGTGGCTATTACACTTCTGTGCTATGTGATATTGAGTAAGTTACTAAGTCTCTCTGAGTCTCTCATTACTCATCTGTAAAATGATCATTGTAACTGCAGTCTTATAGACTCTGTGATGATTAAAAGGGATAATGTGAAAGGATGATATGAAAGTGCCTAGTATAATTAATGCCTGGCAAATACGAGGTACTCCCCTTTCATTGATGCCCTTTTAGAAGAATCAGTCTTTGAAGAGAAAATTAAGACCAACAACCAAACCTTTGCCATCACAGTTAAGAGCCAGAGTTAACACAAACAGTTCTTATAAAGCACTAGGAATTTCCAGAATGAAACTCACTACAGTGGCATTTTAAAAATTGGCATTTTAAAAATTGATTTCACCTCTGTGGCAGGCATTACTGTACAACCCACTTATGAAGATATCTTTTCACATGTTTTATTGTTA